TTTGGTTGTAGAATATGTAACATAATGCTTGTTCAAGAATCTAGTATACAGATATAATGTGGTAATAGTTCCTTTATTGCCAAGGGTTACTTTTTCAACCTAACAGACTGGGAATAAAACCCAATGGATGTTATTCATGTGTGTAAAATATACTTTAACAAACTCCTTAGTCATGGTCTCAGAGTTGTTCATCTATTGTAATTAAGTACCAAAAGGGCTATCAGCTCTGCCTCCTGGTGTTTGCTTTTAAAACTCAGAAAATAAAAAAAAAAACTTTAATTCAGTGAAAACTGCAGTAGCACAAAGCCCATTTATGGAAGATTTATAGCAAGGCTCCATAAATATTAACATGCTGGTAAAAATTCCAGATGTATCTTTTTTGCATGATTCCATAGTTAAGTATTCTCAGCATAAGTCTATTTAGGGACAGTCCTATATAATGTTCTTTATTTAATTCCTTGGAGTATAGCTAAAATTCTACCCTCTATAAATTCAGAGTTTCATGAAAAGGAAAAGAAAAAAAGATTTATTTTGGTACAAAGTTATACATGTTTTATGAACTAAATAGCATTTATAAAGTCTGTGCAAACTGTAAAAATCACAGCTTCGTGCACATCTAATGGAACTTCTTATCCTTGTTATATAATCACTTAAGATTCTTTGTCATGAGCCAAGCTTCCATAGGCTTTAAGTCACATGGCATCTATTATAGGTGATAAAATTTTCATGTGGAATATTAAAATACAAAATAATAGTAATACACAATTTCATGTACCTAAACAATAAGCCATCAAAACACATTTCTATAATTGCATAAAACAGTATCCATTTACTCAAGAGACATAATCAACTTTTGTATTATAAAAAAATGAGCATTTTCCAGAATTCTAAAATAAAACAAATGACCCAACTTAAATTTTTGTAATCTTGTCAAAACTTGAGCAACAATTTTCCAGAAAAAAAAATACTTGTCAACATGATGAATTACAATGAAATTACCCAACAACATACTCCGAACTAAACAATAGTCAATACATCACTGAAAAAAAATATTGAAAGAATTTGGGCTTGTTCCTTTCTTTTGAAAAGTCACATTAGTCATTCCTCCCCTCTTATACTTATTACATATGGAAAGTGATTTTAACAACCAATTTCAATAAATACTTAAACTTCTTAAAAAGGAAGAGAAGGCATTTCATGAACTTCTGAGACCTTTCACAACCACAAATCCAAAGTCAACTCAAATCTTTTCTGGCTAAAGTCAAGGAAGCCTCTGTGTTAACCTCCTATGATTTTTAATTTTTTTAGTAACAGGATTTTAATGATGCCTCAATTCCCCTGTAATAACATATGCCTGGTCCCAAATGCTAGACTAATTGGTTTTCACTATCTGGATGGCTTCACTGTACTACCAAGGATTTTCATATTAGGAAGTACATATGAGGAAATTCATAAATAAGATACCAAAACAAACTACTAGATATATGGAAAGAATTTTTAAAAGGCAAAAGATAAGTGAGAAGTTATATTCGTGTATGGAATGCAAGATTATTGAGCCACTCATTTTTAGTAAGTAAGCAGTGTAACATAGATGGAAGAAGACTAGATAAGGAGGAGACCAAGGTTTGAGTATTGGATCTGCAACAAATTAGCTATGTGGCCATGTGTATGTCACTTAACCTCTTGGTCCTCAGTTTCAACCCCTGGGAAATGATGGAATTGGACTTAGATCAATAGTTTTTAAACTGTGGTCCTTGAACTTGGTTTAAAAGAAAGATTTTGATAATTGTTTTCAATATTAATTGTTTCCTTTGCAAACCTATGTATTTTACTTTATGCCATTGAAAACATTATTCTAAGAGGCCCATGGATTTTATCACATGGCCAAAGGGATTCATCACCAAAAAAAAAAATGCTAAAAACCCATGGCTAATGATCTCTAAGGTCCCTTCCAACTTTAACTTTCTTTGTTTCAGTGAAGTTCCTGGACCAAATATGTGCTTTGTATACTATTTTGATGCACTTGGTTATTTGTTATCAATGGGGCTATTGCTCAGATTTGATTGCAACTTTAACTATCATGTTCAGTTCTGAGTGGCATATTTTAAAGAGGGAAATTAAAAACTGGAAAATGAATCACGTTTAGAGGACAGCAACCACTATGATGAGGGGTCTCCATCAAATATTACAAGTACTGATATCAAGAATTCTCCATAGCTTCAGAGAATAAAATTAAACTCAAAAGCTGAAAGTCTGGGGAAGCCAAATTTTAGCCCAACATGAGAAAAAACTTTCTAACAATTGGCCCCATCTAAAAATAAACTGTACTGCCTTGTGAGGTGGCAAATTTCCCATCAATGGAGGCATTCAAACAAAAATAAAATGATGAACTCTCATTTATTACAGAGGATTCCAGTATCATATGCTAAGTTGAACTAAATGACCTCTAAGACCCATTCCAATTCTAGGATTCCATTTTTCTTTATAATGAAACTTATGCAAAATTCATGAAAAATACATAATGCAAACAATATACTCTATAAACAAGACCTGTGAAAGACAAGCAAGATAATAGTACCATGAATACAAGATACTATCACAGTTAAAAGCATATAAATAAGCTGTAAGGTTAATGAGAAAGTACTGTACTCTGCAGTCACCTCAGAAATGTAGGTTAACTCAAGATCTATTATTTCTAGCAAACGTTCCTCCTATGACATCTCTTTTAAAACTACCTCTTCAAGATCCTTCCTAAAATAAAATCTTTCTAAAATAATTTTTGATAGCTTCCATGCTTTGAAAAATATATTAAGTCTTTGTTAACATGTCTGGAAGCCATTAAAGTACCATGACCCACATCAATGCCCAGGACACCCACCCTACCCCAACATTCTTTTCAATATTTTCTCTCACATCTAACTAATACAGTCCTTCCCTTTTAATGTATTTATGCCTAGTACCCTTTTTTTAAAAGAGTGTGTGCATACATGTATATAGAGAGATGAAGTTTCCATACCTCTCTACAAACCTTTATGTACAACACATATAGGTATTTGCAGCTCCATTCATGTTGGCAACAATTTAGTTGTGATGCTTCTGGTTGAACAGTTAATCTACTGTAGCCATACTTTGCCTAATTACTACGCAAAGAAATAATGGTGAATGAATAATATATGAATAATTTCAAAGGACCATCAGTTATGCTAATGTAGCCTCTCATTTGAGTGCATTGCAGAAAACTAAAATATTTTCAGCCAAAACATCTCAGTTTTTTAAGCCATCAACTTTAAATATAATATATATACACATATATTTATATGTATATGTATATATAATTGACAGTCTCTGTATATATGTATATATGTATATATGTGTATATGTATGTGTGTATATATACAATACACACACACACACATATATATATATATATACATACACACACATACAAACTCTAAATAAAGGAAGATCATTGGTCTTAGAGTCAAGAGCCCTGGGTTTCAGTTTTATGACCTGAAGTCCCTTAACTTCTCTGTGCCTCGATTTCCTCATCTGTAAAATGGGAATAATACTTGTACTACCTACTTCATTATGGTGTTATGAGAAAAGGGCTTTACAAAATTAAAGCACTGAAAAAATAAGCTGTTAATATTGCAGGCTGTTTCAGATGCACATACAAAAGTTCAGGACATTGGCTTACTTGCTATGTGCCAAGCCATTTGATAATTTATGAATAATTTTAGAATAATTAGAATTAATGAGGTTTCAGATATATCTAGTTTTCACTGGATGTGACAGGGATGACATTGTATATACATGGTACTATTTAATGCCAACAGTGATTTTCAGGAACTAGAAAATGGCAAGAACGAATACTCACAGTGCAAATCAGAGTAAAGAAAAGTCTCATTAAAAATATGCCATTTTATGGACACAGTTATTATATTTTAAAGTCCATAAACAGGCAAAAAATGGAAAAAATCAAGAGAAATAGTTTAACTATTTGAGTGAATAAAAATGTAGCTAAATTTGGCTTTACTTGATTGTATGTTCAAAGTCCACAATGCAATAAAGTTATTTATGATCTTGAATCAACTTTAGCTTGACACAAGATTCGTGTAATACTAAAAATTACAAGCTACAAAATGAAGGAAAAAGGCAGTTAGTTATGCAGATGAAGCCACATAAATGGCCATATACGTGGATGGTGACAGTTATCCTGACTCTTCATAGATTTGACTTGTAAGTATCAAGAAATCATCTGTTGTCAGTTATTAGTAGCAAACTCCTTTTTAAAACAATATAAAATAACCTAATCTGGAGATAAATTTAGGGGTCTAGATTTTGTCCCACACAAATACAAATGGTACCCAAAACTGTCAGTAAGATTTATCCAAATAGTAGATGTAAGGGAATAAACTGCTCCCACAGGGTGAAAAGTTTATCTTTTGGAAGAGAATTAACTTTTGACAACCTATTTTAAATCATCACCAAGTGATGCACATTTATTTTCATTCATTGGGAATGATTTTCGCCATGGTAAGATAAGGTATTTTATGAATAGGATATAGCATATGCATATATATGTATGTACTTTAAAGTGTTTTTAAAATATAGTTGTTCCTCATCCCCTTAAGGTAGGTCATGATTATGTCTTATTAGCAGATGATAAAATATGTACCTATTAGGTAAGAATTTGTTGCTTTTTTTTTCAACATTACACTACAGTAATTGTGGGTTCTAAAGATCCCTGAAGGGTACTACATGCTTAGAATACCTAATGTAATTATTTTCCATGAAAAACACCAATTTTTATTTCATTGAAATGACCCTCAAATGATCCCCCAATTGCCTAAACTAGATAATACAATGGAAAAGCAGTGAGGAGGAATTACTGCAGGGGATGAAAGGTTTTGACAAAGAATCAACTTACTAGAAAGCCAAAATTTTTACATTTGATTTCTTCATTTAATTAACTGAAAAAAAAAACCCTCAAACATCAGTATTGTTATAGGACTTCTGCCCATTATACCATCTTGTTTATTTTTCTAAGAATACAGGCTGATTGTCCAGTTTTATTTAATTCTTTAAAGACCAAATAGAAATTATATGCTTATATTTTCTCAGAAAAATATTTAAGAATTAATGTATTTCTTCCCAGAATAGCATGCCCTTATATCCTCATATCTTTCTAATACTGATAAATTTATTAGAGTTTTTTTGTATTTATCATTTATAGAAAATATGAAAAATAGCTACTTGGGAAAATATATCTTTGATAAGTTTTTGTGATATGTGCCAACTAATTAAATTTCAACTAATTATTTAACCTGGACATAATAAGCCTTATCTTTGTCTCTTCCTCAATATTCATCAAATCAGTTACTAGTTTTGTGTATTCTTCGATTCTTCCCCCCAAAACATTGCTCTCACTTGTCTCCTACTCTATTTCCATTAACATCCTCATAAAATAGATTTCCCCCATTACCATCCTAAAGTACTATTGCAAAGGGCTCCTAGCAGGTCTTCCTGACTTCATCCTTTCTCCATCCAGCAATTCATCCTTTTTATTAATAGAATAATCCTTTCAACACATACAGCTGATCTTCCTCAGAGGCTTCCTATTGTCTACTGATAAAGGTCAAATTCCTTTCCCTGGCATTCAAGATCTTCCACAATCTGGCATCCCCTGACTTTCCAACCATCTCTTCAACCTCAGAGTTCACACAGCACTTTCTTTTGAAACTATTTAAATATATGGATCTATGTAATATTAGGTATTATGGTGATCTGTATTTCTTATCCTAAGCTTCATAAAGGCAGGGATAGTATCTTACCTGGTTTTTATACCTCCTTTCTTTCATGCCTAGTACAATGCTTTACACATACAATAGGTATTTAACAAGTATTCCTTGGTGGGATGAATGAATGAATGATTTATTGATTAACCAATTAAAGGCACTTACAACCATAAGATGCAACAGTTATAACAACAGTTGTATCCAAGAAGTAAAATTTCATCCATTGCCTATGTCTAATTAATGAAAATACTCATATAAGAAAAATGCATTATTTCTATTAGCACAGTAGCATTACTCCTCATTCAAAAAACAATGGCAATATATTTTTTCTAAATATCTATCAAAGTAAATGCAATTTTGAGACCAACTGGACTATATAATTTCTGATTATTTCACATTCAGTTACTAACCAAACAAAAGTTAAGGTGAGAGGTTAATCAGAAATAGGTTTCATTAATGTTCTAGCATTTCCACCCAAAATTTTTCTCTTAACAGTTTGATATTTTGAAGATTTAAAGTAGCAAATATTACTCATAACTAGAATAGGAAAGTTGTTTTTCCTTTTTTTTTCACTTGAAACTTTAATTGACCCATTTGTGGAAATAAACTGAGACACAAAGCAATTAGGGTCAATACCTAATAGAAATAATAGTATAATAGAAAGTCAGTGGATTTGTTTTCTAGTCCTGTCACTAACTAGTCATACAGTCTTCAGGCAAGCCACTTTTCTACTCTTTGCCATAATTTCCTCACCTGAAATGTGGAGTTGGACCAACTAATCTCTAAGGTCCCATCTAGCTGTCAAATTTTATTTTTTTCCAGTGGGAACTATATAGCAAACCTAATAAAACTGGGCAGTGGGGAAAATATTTTTATATACCTTCTTTGTCTTTTCCCTTGGTTTTCTGAGAATCTGTATTTTGTGGGAAACTTTGTTTCTAACATGCAGATAATTGAGAACCTGAAACAAGAGGTAGTCGAAGTACTGATAAGGGCTAGCAGAATAAACATTCTAAAAGATGAATAAAATTTCTATAGATCCAATGATGTTGAAAATCATGTAGATGGCTGAATTAGATAATTTTATTTCCTTAATTCCAAATCCTCCTAGCTTTTATACTAGGGACCAATTAGCCTACAAGGCTTTAATACCTGAAAGGGCCATAAGGATGAGGCCTAGTGATATAATGTGATATGATATGGTATGGTATGACACTTATAATACTCTGATAAGTCTGCTATTTGCAAAATAAACATCTCGGCTTGGTATATCAGAAAGGTAACAGATATTTTGGCTGGAGAGAGAGAAAGGAAATGTAAGCATCTAGCAAGAATACTTGATTTTTAATGACATCTTGAAATTACATATCTAAAAATGAATTGCAACTCATACTTTCTAAAGTTTATTATCCTAAGGAATATTACATACATTTTCCATTAAAATTCACAAAATATTCTGTGCCTTTTTAAATAAGACTTTCAAAAATATTCTGCCATCTAACAATCTTACTACTAAAATTCTAGATGGGGCACATTAAAATTCATCCTACAAAGAAGAAAGTAAGAGTTAATTTTCTTCCAAGACAAGCTCCACCCAAATTTTTTACATTTAACTCTTTCAGATGGCTTTAAAAAAAATACCAGCTGGGGAAATAGATAATATAATGTGATTATTCTTTCCATTCTTCATTGTAATTTTGAAATTCTACAGGTAGTATTCAACCATATTGCCACACTATGTGTAACAACCACAAATAATAGTGTTTAGAATTCAAGTATCATATAAAACCCTTAATTTTTCTTATAATCCACATTTTAAGCATCTATGCCACAGCAGCATACTCCTTGTTTTGTTCATTGTTATCATTTTCCTGTGGACTAGTGATTTTTACTTCAGGCCTTGGTGGTCTTTGAGGATCTGATTCATCCTAGTGAAAAACAAAATTATTTAACCCTTTAGGTTGTACAGATAATAAACAGGGATACATATGCAGGGAGCTTAAAGCATTCACCATTCCACTTAAATTTTTATACAAACTTTTAATTTGGAAAAATTCCCATGAGTCATATTTTCATTGCCTTTTTTATTCTTTCATTTTCAAATGCGACATGCCAGGTTTTGAAAGCAATGTGTTCTCTTCCTCAACTTTCCTTTTCCTGACCACAACCTACCCCGCTCCTCTTTTTTATTTATCAGCCTCAGTTTTCCTGATTTTTTCTTCTGCCCTTTAAAATTCTCTCTTTCAATGAGATTTCTGAACTTCGCACATTTCTAGGAAAAGGGGAGGGGAAAGTATGCTGCAGTCCCATTCTCAAGACACCTCAGCCCTGCCCCAACACCACCCAACACCCGATTCCCTTCCATTTTTGTCCATTAAGAATATAAGTATTCCTTGAAATCTGCTGCCCTACCCAATAAGAACAAAATAGAAAATCAGCATGTATTGACATAATAACCCAATAGCACTTAATGTTTCTACCTCTTGGCACATCTATCAGTTTTTTATTATGTATAGAGGCATGTGTGTGTTCGTGTTTGTTCATGAGTGTGTAAATTATATCTAGATCTATGATCTAGAGAGATTAGAGATAGAGCTATAAATATAGATATTTATTGGGGGTCAAGTGACTTCATCTCAGTGTAGGGGACTTTTTGTATGGAAACTTCCTCCAGGGACGTAGGCCAGCAACTGCTCTGTAATTTATAGTCTTAGAAAGTTCCTGGGGGCTAGGTGATTCATCCACTATCCCACAGCTAGTATGAGCCAAAGACAGGTCTTGAACTTGTCTTTCAGACTCCAAGGCTGGTCCTCTACTCACTGTACTAGACTGCCCTGCAGACATATATGTGTATATATAAACACACTTTTATATTTACATATGTATGTCTCATATTGTATATTGCAGACCCCACTGTATTACTAATCATCTTTAGGTATCTATAGGTCCTTTCTCTTCAACTAGACAGTGAGGTCTTAGAGGGCAGGAACTGTGTCTTACACTTCTTTGAATCACCTCAAGTTGCTTAATATTTTATATGTGTGTGTGTAGTGACTTGCATATAATGATAACTCAATAAACTGTACACTCACTATATTTTCCCTGCTTTTTCATTTAAATGTGCTTGACAGTCTATGTGTGTATATATAGATATAGATGGTATGTATATACATATAGATGTGTGTGTGTATATACATATATATATACATATATATAATATGTATGTATATATAGAAAAATATAAATTCAGTTCAACTTTCAAATACCCTTGGAGCCCTATCTATTCTGTAAAAGTTTAAATGATACTTATTACGAATTCTTTGGCAAAGTCAAGTCTCTTTCTAGCTAAATAAACAATTACTCTAACTTATCACCTATAGAAATTTGGCTTATTAAGTGTTAATTGCTTCTGGCTGAATATAAATCAAATTCACTACCAAGATTCCAAATTCACCAAGAAAGCAGCCAAACAAGTTTGTAAGCCCCTTTAGGGCAGGGACCCTGTCTTCTTTTGTAGCTCCTACAACATACCCACATATATATAAATAAAAGTGCAAAACTAATACCTCCTTTGGACCGTCACCATCACCATCACCTTTTGCTAATGTTATCTCTTTGTCTTTCTCTTGATGCTGCTGATCGTTGTTAACTTCATCCAGTTCTTCACCATTTTCTTCATTTGTGCCACCATTTACCCTAGGTGGATCAACATTCCCGTGTTCAGGACTTTCTTCAACTTCTTTTTCTTCAACATCACCATTTACTTTTGATAAATCTTCTTTCTCATCTTCCTTCTCTTCTTCTATATCCTCATTTTCTTTCTCTCCACCTTCTTCCTCATCTATTATTTCTGCTGGCCTCTAAGGAATCAAAAGAAATGTGGTCATTTCCTTAACCAAAGTTTTTAATGGAAACATACTCATGTGTAAATATACAGGGTGTCCCAAAAAGTCTTAGTGCAGTTTTAAGCAATGCTTATTACATTTTTCCATGTAATATATAATAGGTATATTGTATAATGTTACATATCAGGAGAATTGTGATTTATGTATATGTGCATATATATAGATATAGTTACATATACGTCCTACTTCTTGCATAATATACTTGTGTGAATTATGCATAGAGATAATGTGTATGTGTGTGCTCATGTGCATGTACTTGCAGTTTACACATACAAATGTTTATATATATGTACACAGAGGAATATATGTGTAAATATAATAACATATACACACAAAGATATGTCACATTTCTCCTCCTGATACTCAATCAGGCAGGGAATAGCTTCAGCATTTAATAAGGAAAATTCCAATATGTGTCCAAACACAAAAACCTATTTTCATGTAAATCAAAACCCAAAAGTCACCCTCTGCCGTGTGAATTTTAATTCAATCCCACAAACATTAAGCACCTACTATGTTCAAGGCACAATGCTAGGTGCTGGTGATATCCAAAAAAAATAAGAAAGAAAAGAAGAAAATCAGTTCCTGCCCTTAAGAAGCTTGTGTTTAAATTGCTCCTTTGGGGATTACAAGTGCACACATCATAAGGAATTTTATCTAATAGTGCCTTATCACCACTGGAAAAGGAAATGGCAAACCACTCCAGTATCTTCGCCAAGAAAACCTCATGGACAGTATGGTCCACAAGGCCGTGAAGATTTAGGCATGACTAAACAACCAAACAACCACAACCTTATCTGTTTAATATGTCTCTACTACACTTAAAGGTCCTTGAAATCTTAGATCCTATCTTATCTTAGAGCAGGAAGCTGGGAAGCACAGTGGATAGAGCTCCAGGCCTGGAGTCAGGGAGACCTGAGTTTAAATCCACAAGGCATTTGACCTCTCTTTGACTCAGTTTCTTTAACTGTAAAATAGGAATAATAACAGCAACTACCTCCCAGAGTGGTTATGAGGATGAAATTAAAAAATAATTGTAAAGCACTTAGCACCATGTCTGGCATATAGTAAGCCCTATATACATGTAAGATAAATTTTGTATCTTCTTCAGTGCCTTTTAGCACAGTGATCTGCTATTAATAAATGATTGTGAAATGGAATTCAATTATGTTTTGTATATTCACTCTTTTTTTCAGGAAGAGAGAAGAGGGGTCTACAAGAACTATCATTTCTCCTTGTTTTCACCAAGAAAAATATTGTTTTTCTCCCATAAGGTTTCAACTTTCCTTAAGACCAAAAGAGTGAAATAAAAATAAAATCCAAAAACAGAATCCATGAGAATCATTCTACATTTTAGTTCAGTGGCCAATAAATAGCAGTTCTGATAATCTGAATACACACTTGGGGGTCATGTAGTCCAAATAAACATATCTGTGGCTATATAATGACTTTTTATCAGTGCCACAAGGCATTAACCACCCAAATAATAGGAAGAGGCAGTGTGGTATAGTGGAAAACCCACTGGGTCTGGAGTCAGAGGACCTAGGCTCAAATTTTGCCTCTGTTACTGACTGCTGTAACCTTGAGCAAGTCACTTGATCCTTCTAGGCCTCATCTGTCTCATTTGTAAAATGTGGAGGTTGGACTGAATGATGACTAATCTCCTTTCTGGATCCAGATGCCTGATCCTCTTGAATCAGAAGTCTTGGAGAAAAGTAGAACTCATGCATGAAGTACTCTGCCTATACCCCACCACCACTAAGGTAATTCATTTGGGCCTCAGTGTTCCTTAGTCACTGACTCCATTCAGCAACTACCTCCACCATCTACCCCTCCATCAAGGGCTTACCAATGTCATACTTCAATTCTCTTCTTTTTCCTTCGGCTTCTTTCTGTCTCCTCAGGTATGTCTTCCCCCAACTAATCAGCTAAACTTGTTCTAATGTACAAAGGACTAGTCAGAGATCTCCCTCCAGTTCCCCAGTGCACAAATGCATTCTGTCAGGGACCTCATGGAGACAATAAATAATTATCAGTTGTTTTGTCTATTGTATTGTATTTATGTGTATTAGTGAAGTAATACTTATGTTTAAACAGAACAGATAAGACTAGCATACTGTACTGTAGTTTTTCAAAAAGTAATACTATAAGAATATGCTCCCTCTAAAAAATAATTCTTCTTTCTCTTAAAAACTTGCTTATGCCTAAACTAACTCTTACAGTGAACTTCAAAAACACTTCAGCTGGGGACAGATAGGTAGCACAGTGGATAGAGCTCTGGCTTTGGAATCAAGAGGATCTGAATTCAAAAACGGCCACAGACACATAACACTTACTAGATTACTAGTGATCCTGGGTAAGTCACTTAACCCCATTGTCCCCCAAAAAAAAACCTGAAGGGGGAGGAAAAAAACACTTCAACTGAAGTTTCACTAAATATCTGGCAAACAACTGGAATAGTAAATGTTAGAAATGTGGATACACTAATGCATTGCTGGTAGAGCTGTGAATTGGTACAACCGTTCTGAAAAGCAATTTCAAAAAAAAGCGCCCATACCCTTTTACCCAGAGATTCCATTGCTTGTCCCAATGAGGCCAATAACAAAAAGAAAAAGGACTCATGAACACCAAAATATTTAAGCAACACTTTTTGTGATAGCAAAGGGCTGAAAACGAAGTAGATATCTATTGACTGAGGAATAGCTAAAAAACCATGGTATGTGAACATAAAGGAATATTATATGTTCTAAGAAAATATGAATGTCATTGCATGTGGTTGGGAATGTTGCTTCTGCATATCACTCATCAAGGTGCGGATAAGTCCCCAAAAACCCTTGATGAGTTGCTGCTGGGGTATTGACAGCTGTAGGCTGTTGACAAGGAAATGTGAGGAATGGAAGGTGTAATTAGGGGCAGAGACTCACGTGGGGAAATTAGGAGCTCCAGATGGGCTGTAAACCCTGCATTACCCAGTCAACGTGGAGGACACTGCTATTCGGGCCTAGGAATAAAAAGCTTTGCTCTCCCTTCTGTAAGGTGTGCCCAAACATGGGACACACAGCCTTGCTAGGCCATTAATAAGCTCTTTTTTTTTCTGGTTCACCAATAGCTTCTTAGAAATTTTAACATCAATACAGAGAAGCCTGGAAAGGCTTATTTGAACTGATACAAAGTAAAGTAAGCAGAGCCAGAAAACTGTACAACACAGTGACTACAGCAATGTAAATGGAAGAAACCACAGAACAATAGAACCTGAATGCTTCAGGCTTATAATGATCCCTAAAAGAATATAATTGGCTCCAAGGAAGAGATATGAGAACTTCTCCCTACACACACTTCTTTGAAGAAGAAGGATACCAGTGGTGTGGTATACTGCACACAATGTCAGATTGTTTTTATAAGCTTAGTTTTTGCTGAACTTTTTTCTTGCTTTCTTCTTTCAGACCTTACTATAAGATATCAGCCTTCCCTCATGCAAATCCAATTCAATTGCAAGTCACGTCATGGCCCTTCAAGGATGAAGGACTAACTACACAATTATAAGCTATCCCTCTCTGGAAGGGATGAAAGAGGAATACAGTGAGAAATATTAGTGATGTAAAAAATAAAATCAATAAATTTATATAAAACTCTTACATTAAAAAAGTTTCTCATTTTCTAACAAAGAAAATTTCTCATCTACAAGTATATACAAAGTATATAAAGGTTTCACATGGTTATGATGACTATAAATAAACATTTGGGGTATAGGGAGCTCCCAAAGAGGAAATTCTTCTACCAGTACAGATCAGTACCTGCTCTGAAACTTAAGAATCTTGAACGCTAGTTGATGCCTAGGGGCACTGAACACTTAAGTCTGGGCCATGGTTACCCAACCATTATATAAATGTCAGTGATGGCACTCGATTCCAGTAGTTCCTAACTGAGACCAGCTCTCTAATGACTGATCTAATGCTTCTCATTACCATATAGAAAATACAAGTATCTATTTGCCTCTCTCTCTGCAGCCATAACCCCTCTGCCTATTAAATATTTCAAACTGAAAGTCCTGTAAACATCTACAACTGAACCTGTCTAAAACTGAACTCATCTTTTCCCCAAAACCTTTCCCATACCCTTCAAATTTCCCTATTCCTACTGAGAGTTCTACAACCCACCCAATCCCCTCCCTCCAATAAGCTCACGAATTGGTATTATCTTCAACTCCCCCTCCCTCTCCAATCTGTTGCCAAGGCAATATCTTTGCAACATGCTCACTTATCTCCTTTGACTCTGCCACCACCCTGCTGAAGGCCCTCACATCTTCACGGATGGTCTGTCTGTCACAAGTCTCTCCTACTTCAGTTCATTCTCCATTCAGCTGCCAAGATGATTTTCCCAAAGTACAGGTCTAAACATGTCACCCTCCTCACTGAACTCCAGCAGACTGCTATCACCTACAGGATCAAACAAAATCCTATTTGCTATTCAAAGTCCATCATAGGCTAGCTCCTCTCCCCATCTTTCCAGTCTTCTTATACTTTATACTACCCACCCCCCACAACATGTCTGTCAATCCAGTGACACTGGCCTCCTTAATGGTCCTCAAACAAGACATGACATCTCTCAGCTCCATTTTCACTGGCTCTCCCCCACACCAGTAGTGCCCTACCTCATGGCTTCCCTCAAGTCTAAGATGCTATCTTCTATAGGAAGCCTTTCTTAATTTCTCTTAATTCTTGTGCCTTTACTCTGTTGATTATTTCCTATTTATCATATGTATGTATATTTATGTGCATATAGATAGATATGTATTGCCTCTTTGTACCAAGTCATTTGCATGCTATCTCCCCCATTAGATTGTGAGCAGGGACTGTCTTGTTTTTTTTGTTTTGTTTTGTTTTGGTTTGGTTTTTTGGTAACCCCAGTGCAGCTAGGTAGCACAGTGTATAGAACTCTGAGCCTGGAGTCAGGAA